AAACCCTAAACTCCAGCGTGCGCTCTCTCCCCTTCTCCCTCCCCTTCCCTAAACTCCCTATCCTCACTGCGGGGATCTTGGCCGCGCTCCCCTCTTCGATGCATCAAGCAAGCTCGCCCAGTGTCCATCATCTCTTGCTGTTCTCTTGTGTGCAGAACTGATATCCTTCCATGTACAGTGATTATAAATTGTTACATTCATGTTATCTACTGAGGCTTGGGGATGGTGCAATGATGATCTTTTTAAGACTGAGACAATGGAGTTCTGCAGTGATGAGTTTATAGTTATTTCATTCTTCAATGAATCTTGTGACAATGTCATTCTATTAGTTGCACATTTTATCCATTTGTTAGTCAGCATACATCCATTGTCAATGATGTCTTTGCTTCATAAAATTTACCGGTTCTTCTATTACTGAGCACAACCCATTGCCAATGATGTATTTGCGATTGGCCTTGCTAAGGTAATTTATTACTTAGTGAACGTTAATATGAGGCTTAGTTTTCTCTTTAACTTTCCAAACCATTCCTATTATTTGTGCATTGTACCTTTGCTTGTCTCAGATTACTTTTCATGGTTTGTGTCAAGTGTTTGTGAGAAAAATACACTAATAGTGTTTGGGCAGCCCGTTAGAAATATTGCATGTAGAAACAATTTGGACACATCTTACATTGGTTGGTTGTTGGAAGGAATTTTAATAAAAGGAGGTTGCCTGCATAGTTAGTCATCATTGATTAGTGATGGAATATAACTAAGTTACCTTTGTGTGCTGTCGTACTATAACTATCTTGGTTGATAACATGCATGAACCTGAACTTATGCATACTACTATTAATCCTATATGAAACTGAGCTATCTTGGAAGGTGTCTCTTCGACCAATTACTCCTAAAATTAATTGTACTTTCTTTTTGTCATTCAGCTTAATACCATTGTGATCATACATATTACATATAATCATGTAGTTAACTGTCCATTGATATTTACAGCAAATTGGTCCTTGCTTGCTTATTGCGAGACTGCTTTAAATTGATAGAAACAATGGTTATGGTAGTTGGTTAAACACCAGCACCTGCATGTAGCAGTTCTATGCAGACATTGGGGAAAGGAAGGTGTTGGCAGTTCTATGTACAGAATATAATATATTTACAGTGCCCCTCCTGACTTTTGTTGGGTTAGTGTATCGTTCATTGTTTCAGAGTTTCAGGATCAGATATGATGCCTCATATCATGTTCTTGGAGTTCCAGGATCAGATATGATGTCTCATATCATGTTTTTGCAATAATATGGGACATTGATGTGAAAAGAATATGTTATCTGCACCCGATTCAAAAGGCGATCACTCTCTGTGTTGGAGAAGAGCTTCTATAGGTGAGTTATAGACTAATACTGACTAATGAGTCTAAGAATTCCAGACGGTTTACTGCTCTAATGGGAATTTTGCGGCTGGCATATGTTCGGAATAGTTCTGCAACCGTGTCTCTATTGAACTGTGTTTGCCTCAAAGATGCCTACTTGACATGCCATACTGGAATCCTTTTACTGGATCTTACACCATTGTTTATTGATGGTAAAGTATACTGCTCTCAGTAATGTTAAAAAAGGGGGTTAGGTTTCTAATCATTGTTCTCTCTTTTGTTGTCCTCTTCTCAGGTTCTTGGGTTAAGGGCACATTCTTAGTATGTTGATGCTATGCTGGTGCTTCATGGATTCATCTGCACATCTATGTGTCTCTGACAACAAATCTGAGGTAAAAAGTAGTCAGTCCAGTTACAGAAACACACCTCTGTTGGTGATTAATTCTTTTTTATCATTTCTCTGTACTCCGTATCCTCCAATATAGTTTGTCTCTACTTTTACTTTATTTACTAAAAAAGATCGCCTCCACAGCTGCAGAGATTGTCTGTAGTCCGTCAAAACCATCTATAAATATAGTTAACAATTTGGGCTTTCCAAACATTAAACTCTACAAACCTGTAGGAGTTAGCGTCCTCTTAGCATGGCCATGTTAGCAAAATTTACTTGAGGATGCATGCTGGTACAATATGTTCTCTCTCACATTGACATCCCTGAAAATTTGAGTGGCACAACTATCTGTTTCCCAGCAGTTCAGATATCCAAGTATTGACACTATCAATTGTGTTACTGAGATTTATTTAACTTTGGTATGGTTTCATGATCTAATGAGCACCCTCCAGATCACAAATATAGCAATGCATCACCTTTTATTTGCTTACTCTAGACTTTGTACAATTTGTATGTAATTTCGCCAAAGTTTAGGCATCTGATCAGAAACCTGCTTGTGGATTATACGTGTGTTACTCCATTTGTGAATGTGCCATTCAACTTTTCTTCATATTTCACATATCTATTTTAGTGTATTCCCCATAGTTTAGGCATCTGATCAGCAACCTGCTTGTGGATTGACCTTTCATGTTTTTCCTTTTACAGATCAAGTAGTCCATGATGCTCCAGGGCAGAAACATAGTGATTCAGGTCTTCAGGACCCTGTGCAGGACAAATACACTGATACTAATGTAGATGATTCAAGTGGCAGCAGTGAAAATGCAGTGCCTAAAATTACAACTCCATAAGGATCTACAAATGAAGATGCCCTCCTTCCATAACAAATTGTCTCTACCCCTCTTGGAAATAATAACAACGGTTAGCTACCAGTTATCAATTTGCTATTTTTCCAGCTTATAATGCCAATAGTTATTCTACTGTCTTTGTAATAGTGTGCATTCATGTGATTGGTTTGCAAATGATGATATTATCTACAGCCTATTAAGCCAATTCTACCTCTGATGGTCATGCCATATAAAAACTAATTCATATATGACCCATGTTTTGTGACATGTTTTTTTCCATCCATACCCCCTCTTCAGCGATCCTTTTTTAAAAACCATGCATCCATTTGGCCACTAATGAAATCGCCCAACTTTGCTTACTTGACTAATGGAATCCTATAATGCAGCTCCCATATTCCTTAGTAGTGTTAAAAGATTTGTAGGTTTATAAGAGCGAATGAGCAAACAAATGAAAAGAAGATATCTCTTTCTGATTTACGAAGACAGATATACAACGAAATACGATTTCCTTTATTTTATCCTGCATTTTACTGTCTTGTAGGTTGTAGGTTTTTAATTACCTTTATTTTTTATTTATGATTTTCTCTCTAGATTTTCTCTGCTTTCCTTTCTTTCTTTCGTTCACTTCAGAAATATGATTTTTCTTCTTTTACTATGCAAGCTGCACGCTGGGAAATTCGTCTAGGTTTTGCGTTTGTCAGCCTACTGGAAATCACAACTTATTCTTAGTATCCATGATCACTGGGAAAATCGGGAGAATGAAAACCTGTATGCCATACCCATGCACTTGAATTATGAGATGGGCTTCATGCCTCCGTTGCGGGTGATGATATTTGTGCAGGTCACATATTTGTTTGACAACTTTCCCTTAAATATAGGAGCTGATGCTTTGAAAAATATAACTTGATAGCCTGCATGCTTCGCAGTTGGCACATAAATGTTACCTTTTATTCCTGTTGTGCTTAGTTCAGCTCCCTTTTGTCAGTTTTCAGCCCTGCATACCTTATTTTGGACTTCAGAGTCCTGCTCATGGAGCAGTTCCTTTTCTCCTTCCCAAGATGTCTGATAGATATAGCATGAGCAGAATTGAATATATTTTATATATATCTGAATGCATCAATTTATTTGCCATCACAATATATGCTACATATATCTAAGTTAGTTCACTCTTGTACACATGTGTGAAAAAAGAATCTACAGCCATATTTCTATTATGTATGTCCATTCTTTGTTAACAGACAAAATTTTGCATCAAGAATGTTCTTGTCTCTACATTCATTGCCAGGCACTCAGGTACTTGCTGGTGGCATGTTAGATTGCTGATTACCGAGTCTAACAACTACATCTTTGTCACTGATAGTTGGGATGTTTCAGGCAGTCACAGCCATTTGATAGAAGTCGAGGATGGCAGCTGTACAAATGAAACAAAAAAATGTCGTCCATAAAGAAGTATTTGCTTCTATTGCGTCTGGCAACGCATCCCTATGACACACATAAATGTACATACAGAGCATATTAGACTTATCTATTGTGTGTATCGTGTTTACATAGTAGACCAAAAAAACATAATGCTCCTTCTACTTCATTGTCTTTTATAGATCACAGGTTATGACCCACGCTTTACATGTATATTGACCTGTACATCTCTTTAGACAGTCACCGCTCTTTTTTATGAGACTAAACAGCCTATTTGCTGCCTCTGCAGGTAGCCAGGATGCAGATGCAGCATTTTCTTTCGTCACAGTTGGCAACGCAGAGAAGAAAGGCAGCTGTATGTGTCCATGCCATTAGAAAGTGGACTTTTGATGCCCCTAAGCTTTTGTAAGTTGCCAGTGACTATGTATAAAGTACCTCTAAGCTTGTGTAAGTAGCCCATGACTAAACAATGTATAAAGTACCCCTAAACTTGTGTAATGGCTCTGTATCATATATATATATATATATATATATATATATATATATATGACCCGTGTTCGTTTCCTCCCCCAGATCCTATTACCATGCCAAAACTAAACATGCATCTTTCGCCCTAGTATTTACCTAGTGATTCCTCCCGCGATGGCACACGCCTTGATTGTTTCCCTCATTGTTCTGCATAAGTCATTTACCTGGTTTTTTTTTTTTTGGCATGCTGTTTCTCTCTTTTTTATGCTCATCTCTTTATTTTTTCAACTGAACTGGTCATTTACTAAAATCTTTTGCCGTCGCGCGCGAAGGCGCGCGCCTGCCACCAGTATCCAAACATCGTGAGCATCCACACTTCCACGGCACACCAGTTACTGCTGCACTAGCCAGTAGCCAGCCTGAACCTGCCGACGACTCGCCGGCGTTCGGCGCCCTCGTGGCAAGCAAGCGCAGCGTAATTCTGTAACAGCAGGAGCACGAGCACCTCATCGCAGAGGGACCAGATATGCTCTCTGTGCTCCTCGGCGGCTACCTGACCGCCTACCCTCCGCTGCCTCTCCCACCCGCAACAGCAGCAGCCCCGAGCCCGAGCGCGCGTCTCCCGGCTCCCTTCCCTCCTCGCCTCAGGCACGCGTCCCCCCTCGTCGCCCGACGGCGCGCGGTAGGGGTGGGGGAGGCGTTGAGCGCGTCAGCCGCCGCGGAGGGCGATGACGAGTACGAAGCGGAGCTCCAGGAGGAAGGGTTCCCGAGCTGGACGGGCGGCGGCGGCGAGGAGGACTACGACCACGACCCCGAAATCGGAGACATTATGGGGGACTATTTCGACAACCCCAAGAAGGCCCAAACCCGCGTGGGTGCCCCTGTCTTCTTCTCTGTTCTGACGAATGAATGGCTTTCCTCGTCTTATTCTCTGTTGAATAATTTGGTGCTTGTTTCACGCCCTGTGCTCTCGTGCAGATGGAGGATAGGATAAGAATGAAGCGCCACAAGATCGTGCAAACAAAGACCGGTTCTCCAAACCCGATGAAAGTTGTCTTCAACAAGTAATGTGCTTCTCTGATGCTGCCATATATGTGTACAAAATCCAGGTAGATAGGTAGGACTAGTTTATACTGTGCACTTCGAACTGATGATTCTACAAATTTTCATTTACAGAACTGGCCTCCTAAATGGAACTTTCAGTGTTAAATTCTTTTACAATATTTTAGATAATGGAATAGAAGTATCCCAGCCTCCACTTCAAGTGATTCTTTAGCAGTTCCTTATTACAATAGCTGCACTTGCAGCAAAAGCAAGCTCATAGCTCATCAGAACAGAAGAGCAAAATAGCGACCACACCCAACACCTTTATGGTCTATGTGTAAACCTCCATCCTTGACCAGCAAAAACCTATATTGTGGTGTATATTATTAATCCTATATTTCTCAATATAAGTTTTTGGTGGCGGACTTTCGTTTTCAGGTGCGTGCCCGTAGGGATAAACAAGCTAACATTGAAAGAACAAAGTGGTGGAAAGTGAAAGGGGAGACGTCAGAGGTATTCAGAGAAAGGGTTATCAAATAGGGCTCTTGGAAGGAAGAAGAGAACATAAACAACATGTGTGAGAAGATGTCAACCAACATTCGGAAGGTGGCCTCAGAGGTGTGTGGAGTAACCAAAGGAAGTGGAGACGAGGCTAAAGATACTTGGTGGTGGAACGAGGAAGTCCAAAAGGCTATTGAGGAGAAGAAAGAATGTTATAAACGCTTGTACCATGACAGGAGTGTGGACAACATAGAGAAGTACAAGGTGGCAAAGAAGACTACAAAGCGAGCTGTAAGTGTGGCAAAGGGTAGAGCATACCAGGATCTTTACCAACATTTGAGTACGAAGGAAGGAGAGAAAGACATTTATAGGATGGCTAGAGTTCGTGAGAGAAAGACAAAGGACTTCAACCAAGTTAAGTGCATTAAGGATGAAAGGGAGCATCTTTTGGCGAAGGAGGATGAGATCCGACATCGATGGCCAGAGTATTTGGACAAATTGTTCAATTGTGAGAATACGGACACAACCTTTTAGTTGGATGACTCTTTTGATGACACCAATAGGCGCTTTATGCGGAGAATCCAATAATCTGAGGTCAGAGAGGCATTGAAAATGATGAAATGAGGTAAGGCAATGGGACCGGATGGTATCCTAATCGAGGTGTGGAGATGCCTCGGGAACATAGCTATAGTATGGCTAACCAAGCTGTTTAACCATATTTTTTGATCGAACAAGATACCTGACGAGTAGAGAAGAAGTATATTGGTACCGATCTACAAAAATAAAGGGAATATTCAAAGTTGCACTAATTACCGGGCAATTAAGTTGATGAGTCATACTATGAAGCTATGGGAGAGAGTTATCAAGCATCGCTTGAGAGCAATAACACGGGTCTCTATAAACCAATTTGGTTTCATGCCCGGAAGGTCAACTATGGAAGCTATTTTCTTAATAAGACAAGTAATGGAGCGGTATAGGGAGAAGAAGAAGGACCTACACGTGGTTTTTATTGACTTGGAGAAGGCTTATGATAAAATACCAAGAAATGTTATGTGGTGGGCTTTGGACAAATATAAAGTCCCAATGAAGTACGTCGGGCTCATTAAGGACATGTACAACAATGTTGTGACTAGTGTTCGAACAAGTGATGGAGACACAGATGACTTTCCGATTAAGATAGGACCACATCAAGGGTCAGCTTTGAGCCCTTATCTGTTTGCCTTAGTGATGGATGAGGTCACAAGGGACATACAAGGGGACATCCCTTGGTGTATGCTTTTCGCGGACGATGTAGTGCTAGTTGATGAAAGCCGGACAGGAGTGAATCAGAAACTAAAGTTATGGCAGGAGACTTTGGAGTCCAAAGATTTTAGACTCAGTAGAACTAAAACTGAGTATATGAGATGTGACTTCGGCACTACTACTCGGGAGGAGGAAGATATTAGTTTGGAAGGTCAAGTAGTGCCTAGGAAGGATACCTTTCGATATTTAGAATCAATGCTACAGAGAGACGGGGATATTGATGAAGATGTTAGCCATAAAATCAAAGCAGGGTGGATGAAGTGGCGCCAAGCATCTGGTGTCCTATGTGACAAAAGGGTACTACAGAAGCTAAAAGGCAAGTTTTATAGGACGGCGATTAGACCTGCTATGTTGTATGGTGCAGAATGTTGGCCTACGAAAAGACGACGTGTTCAACAGATAAGTGTCGCGGAAATGCATATGTTGTGTTGGATTTGCGGTCATACAAGAAGGGATCGAGTTCGGAACGATGATATACGTGATAGATTAGGGGTAGCACCAATTGAAGAAAAGCTTGTCCAACACCGGTTGAGATGGTTTGAACATGTCCAACGGAGACGTCTAGAGGCACCGGTGCGTAGTGGAATCATAAGCCAGGATAGTAACGTGAAGAGAGGCAGAGGAAGACCGAAGTTGACTTGGGTAGAGGCAATAAAAGGAGACTTGAAAGAAAGAAATATATCTAAAGACTTAGCCTTAGATAGGAGTGCTTGGAAAACAGCTATTCACGTGCCTGAACCTTGATTGCTTCTGCTGAGTTTCAACTCTAGCCTATCCCAACTTGTTTGGGACTTAAAGGCTTTGTTGTTGTTGTTGATGATGATATTATTAATCGTGATCCTGTGAAAACACTTTTCAGCACGAGACCAACATCCTATGCGATGTTGGATCAACTATTAGTGAAAACTCAGAGTTTGGATCTCGAGTCCCTTACAATGGTCAACAAAGAAGTAAAACTATTGACAACCATTTGGAGATCTTTCTTAATTGCTTAATGGAGTTTTGGTTGTTTCCTGTTCTAGATTTGACTTCTCCAATTCATATATATGGTTCGAGTTCTACAATGCTCTGTTGCCAAAAGATGTTACATTAATTTCTGATGTGAGTTCTTTCTCTTTATTTTCCCCCAACAGGAAGTATTTACCACACTTATAAAAGAAGCATGTATCAAATCTATACACATGTGTGCTCAGGATGTTGCATCTTCCCTTTTATTGTGCTTGCAGTCTCTGCGATCATGGCATATAGTAGGCCGTCTTGGTGGTTGCAATTCTATGAATATGCAGGTATAATGGTCGGACACATTTACACTTTTTGAATGTCATTTTGGACAATCTTTTTTATTTTCTTTTTCATGTCCTTCAAATATAGTGAGGAAACAAAGTGGATGAGTTGATACTAGTCAGGGTAACATAATCCTTCTCCTGACCTCCATTCTTTTCTTCAAAATGTTGGTAACTTATCAAACTTCTATGCTTTGCACTAAATGACTTCAAAAGTACTTGTTTATTTTGCAGTTATCGCAGTTGCCTTCAGATTGTAAAAGGTCGACTTATGATGCTCTTGAAGGAGCTAACGTCACTCCGACGTCCTTTTATAATATTGGTGATCTTGAGATTCAAGATAATCTAGCACGAGTATGGTGTGTAATATTTCTCTTCTAAGCCGGCTTTACAAAATGTAGACTGTAACCTTTTTATGTTGTCATGTGAATATTGAACTAAAGTGTTATCCATTTCCCACTCCTCTAATTCTTGATTACTATCATCTGTTGTCGCATCATTCTGGATTACAGACACTAACTGTTTGTGTTAACAAGCTTATGAAAAATACCATAAATACGAAAAGACCATTCACAACATAAGTTCCATCGATGTGGGTTTAATCACGATAAACTATTTTTAGGCCACTCATGAATTTTGTGGTGCAGTAAGCCTGCTAGACCACTTTGACTGAAAAAATACTGACTCCCTTTTAATACTAGACACTGCAATTCTATGGTTTTCTAGAAAGCTGTAGCTCTCCCCGTGAACTGTACCTTTTTGCACCATGTACTGAAACACTGTGATACCTTTCAAACAAATATTTATTCCAGAGAAAATATGCAAATGCATACATTTTCAATTTGTAATCACATTGATTTAGCCCATGACCCTTTATTTTCATATTATTAACTTGCACAGGGTAGACATTGGTATTCATGAGCCATTGCTTCTGGACATGCTGCTTAATGCCTTAACAACAATAAGCTCAGAGTAAGAGCCAGACTTTTGATTTTTGATTGTCAATATTTTGGTAATTTATTTACTGTGTATATAATGTTATTTCTGCTCATCAGGATCTGGTCTCTAACATATGGTGCACATGTATATTTATATCTTGTTCTGGTTTTCTGTTTGGTGCCCCTTAAAATTAAAAGTGTGCGATGTGGCACAGCTTGATTCCACTGCAACATGTCCCACAGGAGTGCAGTATGTTTTGTGAACTGCCATGTTTGTGAGCCCTGTAGTCCACATTATACCCTTCTCTTCTTTTTATAGGAGGACAAACAAACTGAACCTTTTATTTTATCTGAAGGGAAGTAGTAACTACTGATTTGGAATGCAATTCTTGCTAGAAAGATGTTCCTGTAGTAGGGCAAGATTGGGCTGTGGGGTTTGGCACACCATTAGGGAGGACAACATATTTTTTATGGCCTCATCATAACTCAATATACCATTGTTACTCATGAAAAATAATATTCCAGCTGCCTCTTAATGCCTCATTTTTTTTCAGATTAAGTGTGTGTGTGGGTGGGTGGGTGGGTGGGGGGTGGTGGTGGTGGTGGTGGGTTCTTCCAAGCTCACACTGCTTAGTGCTTACTGTATTTGGTCATGTTATGAACAATTTGTTACCATATTCCTGTGTGGAACAATGCAATCTCATCCGTTTTCTGTTTGATTTTCTACAGTCATGTTGGTATTAAGCAAGTACAGTTTGGAGGGTTAGAGTTTTTGAACTGGAGTGAGGACTTGAAAACAGAAGAAGTTGGATATAGTGTGTGCAAAATCTAAAATAGCACAATCCCGAGATTTGCAGAAGCAGCTACCATTTTAGCTAAAACGCAAATACAGCATCTGGTTCGAACATAGGGTTTCAACCACCTTGATCGTGCAAATGAGAAGAAAAATGGTGACAACACGATGAAAAGTTGACGTCCAAACATATTAACTTCTGCTTGAAAAGAGGTTGCCGTCTTTACAGGACTCTGCTAGCTACACATCATTGGTAATCCTTTTGGATACATGTAATATACCTAGGTCCTCTAATGTCCAACGTGTGCATTGTTACTCCACAATCTGACACTAGCAGGTCAGGAGAAAACTTATAAAATTATGTTTTCTTAGTGCTAGTGATCATCACGAACCATTTGAACAATTGCTGAATGTACCTTTTTGCGAGGAATTTCTGTTCTTGCTTAATGTTAGTGGCATGTTTCATCCTACCCCATTTTTAAACGAATGTATATTTTGAACTAACTAGCCTGTACTAAACATCATATCTACATCTATACCTCTTTCTTCTTCGTTCGTGTTACCGTATGTTAATGAGCTTGCTATAATCTCTCACGCCACGGCATAGACGGGTAGCGAGTTCTGTCACGGTTTTTTAGCTACAGTAGTTTTCGTCACGTACAACACCTACCTTTTCGATCTTAAGTAGAAGAGCCACCACGTCACGGCACAGACGGGTAGTCGTTTTTGTTTACACGTTTTTTCTTTCAGCTACGATAATTTCCGTCACGCATGACACCCACGGGACCCCACCTTTCCGATCTTAAGTACAAGAGCCAAAGGGTTTGGGATTCGCGATTCTTCTTTTTTGTTCGACTTCGATTCACAATTCTTCAAAGTCACGGACGATGCCATCATTTTTTCCCTCTTTTTTTTTTTTGGAGTTTCACCTTTTTTTTATCTCTGGAGCCATGGCCGACGGTTTCCCATTCTTCAAAGTAATTGTGTTTTTTCCATTTAAAAAAATCAGGAGTACAAAATAAATGTGAAAAAGAAAGTAAAAAAGAACAAAATAGGCCTTCAAACCATTAGCGCTTCCTTAAAAAAGAAGGGTATACACTTCATATCACTATTGCATTTCTCATTTGACACAAAACCAGAAATTATGTTTGCACTTGCTTCATATGATGGATGAAATCATGAACTGAGATATGGAGCAGTTTGTGTTGCGATGATCTCAACAAGGGTGACGTGGCCGAGTCCTAAGGGAGGCAACCCCACGTACATGTCGGGGACCAATACTAGGGTACCCGAATAAGAGGAGATAATAACCATCAACATTGATTCATCCGAGCAGTCAAGAGCGCGACTACAGCTCTAACCGACCCCCAGGTGCGCACGCTCCGCCTCGCCGGGCATCTGAGGGCGGGCTCCGCCTCACCCGACCTCTGGGGGCGGGCTCCACCTCGCCCAACACCGACGCCACAGGCTTCGCCTCGCCCGACCTCTTAGGGTTGGCTCCGTCTCGCCCGGGCTCTGCCTCGTCCGACCCTTAGGGTCTGTGCTCCGTCTCGCCGGGCCTCTAAGGGCGGGCTCCGCCTCGCTTGACCTCTAGGGGCGGGCTCCACCTCGCCCGACACTGAGGCCGCGGGCTCCGCCTCGCTCGACCTCTGAGGTCTGGCTCCGCCTCGCCCGACCTATGAGGGTGGGCTCCGCCTCGCCCGACACCGAGAACACGGACCTTGTCTCGCCCGACCTCTAGGGGCGGGCTCCGCCACGCTCGACACCGAGGTCGCGGGCTCTGCCTCGCCCGACCTCTGAGGGCTTGCTCCGCTTCGCCCGGCCTCTGGGGGCGAGCTCCGCCTCGCCCGACCCTTGAGTCTACGCTCCGCCTCACCCAACCTCTGAGGGATGACTCCGCCTCGCCCGGCCTCTGGGGGCGGGCTCCGCCTCACCCGACCTTTAGGTCTGCGCTCCGCCTCGCCCAACACCGAGGCCGCGGAGGCCGCGGGCTCCACCTCGCCCGACCTTTGGGTCTGCGCTCCGCCTCGCCCGGCCTCTAGGGGGGACTCCGCCTCGACCGACCCCAAGGCCAGGGGATCCGTCTTGCCCGACGAAGACCCATACCACCACCAACCACTCCAGGTCCAAGCGAATAGGCCTGGGTCAAAGCTCTGACACCAGGGAGATGACCGGCATGCCCCGATATAACCCGTGGTTGTGATGGGCCACACCTGAGGATTCACATCAGGAACAACGTCGGGCGTACCAGTCTTTTCTGCCTAACCCTCGTACGAACACTGACAGACACGTCAGTTCACCACGACGTCCGCTAGGATGGAGTCGAGTGCCACGACTAGGAGACGATGCCTGCACATGGCGCCAGTGACGGACAGGGCCGCGACGTGAAGCTATCCCTGTTGACGTCTATAGGGTCGGCGGGACCCACGTGAAGGAAAAGGATCTGGCGATCCTGGAGGACTTCTTCTCCTTCTCATCCTCCTCTTTTCCCTCCACTATAACCCATACTTTCCCTTGGTCTATAAAAGGGAAAGTAGGGCGTCCCATAAGGGGCATCGCAAGGGATCAAAACTCATCGCAACACACCATAGGAGACTTGAATTCGATCAACTCATCGAACCTCGAACATACAACCGAGCAGCGACCGAGCTCTGGGCACCCGCTCGCTCCTCTCACCAGAGACTCAGGACCTATCCCTCTCTCGACCGTTTGTAACCCCTACTTCAAAGTTTCAATGCTAGTAACACGAGCAGCAGCAACGAACTGGACGTAGGGACATTCTGCCCAAACCAGTATAAACCTCATGTCCTCTTAGCACACCATCCGAGCCAGACGCGTAATATTAGAAATTTACTAGTCTGTGGCAACTCGAAACACCGACAGTTGGCGCGCTAGGTAGGGGCCTTTTGCGCATCTCGACATCCATATCAGGCCTCGAATGGCTAGTCACAACATCAGCTGGGTCCTAGGCGCACACGTGCGTTTCAGGGGCATGGACTTCATCGTCATGATGGAGGGAAGGTTGGTTCAGGCTCTCGCCGTCGGCCAACCTCTCCACTTCTCCGACCTCGACGCGATCACCAAGGCGCTTGAAGAGCTGCAGCTGCACGCACCAGAGGTCCGCACCCCCGGGAGCGACCAGCTCCTCGGCTTCGACTACGGGAGGTTAGGGCGCCAGCTCGGCGCCTTCCTAGGACCCCGACCATCCTAGGAGGACCTGCGCCGCCTCACCTTCTCATTCACCAACGTTATGACATAGCTTGTTGGAGGAGAGCCGCTCTCCCCGGAATACCTGGTTTGAAGCGCCTCGATAGTGCTCCCATGTAGGCCGTGCACCACGGTTCTGGTGCATAAGCATCTCGGCCTCCACCGCGACGCATGCGATACCCTCGATGCCCACAGGCGCGACGTGCCCTTAGAATAACCCGACAAGGACGTATCAGTCCATCAAGCCTAGCAAGGCGACGGGTTGCGCACCGTGGTTCTAGTGCATGAGCATCTCGGCCTCCACCGCGACGCATGCGACACCCTCGATGCCCGCAGGTGTACCTGCAGCGATGCGAGGGAGGGGACTAGCCTCGGCTACCATCCACATCATGGTGGACGCTATGACAGCGATAAGGACCGAAGCCAGAGCCCCAACTTGTCGGGACCTCAAGCCTTTGGCCAACACACCCTCAAGGGCAAGGCAAAGCGGGATGAGGACGCCGACGAAGGCGCCTTCAACTGTCATAACAAGAGGAAGAACAAGCAGCGGCGCGACGGCTTGCTTGTGGCCACCGTCGACCGTAAGGAGGGTCAGAAGCCCGCCGAGGGAACCTCGAACCACTTTGAGAAGCTGCTCAAAGGGCCATGTCGTTCTTATCCGAAAGCTCCAACAAGGGGGAGCATAGGAAGGAGCCCAGCTGTAACACCCCGGGTGTTTTAAATACTAAAACAGGACATGTCATCATATGCATTGCAAGGCTTTTGGTCATATTAAAAACTGTGATATGCATTCACTAAAACAAGTTTACATTTATGTTATGAGTGTTGCCTTGTATGGTTTGAATTGAGTTCAAAGTTTTGTTTGGATTTTAAATTTTCGAAAACTGTGATTTTCAGCATTTAAGTTTGCCCTGGAAAACCCATTTCAAAATCTGAGCATATTTTGTGGTTGAGCCTTAAAGAAAAAATGTAGAGTTTGTTGAGTTGTACAAAGTTGGTTTTTGGAGTTTTCTAAGTCGTTTAGAAAAAATTGAAGTAATTTAAAAAGGCGAAATGTACTTAAAGTGTCCCCTTTTTAATTCAATTTTGCATTTCAAAATGTAGACCGAATTAGGGGGTGGTTATAAAAGCAAACTTGTAGAGCTTTGGATTTTGAACAACTTTTATTTTTAGAGATTTTTGAGTTGTTACATAAATTTGGGAGTAATTTAGATTTTAAACCGAGTGGTAATTTGGTAAATATGATGAACAGTGCCCGTGGAAGACACCTCATCGCCGGCGAGCTTCTAATCTGTTCTAGTCGTCGCCGTGGCCGTCCTTGGCTTCATGCTAACGCGGTAAAGGCCCTGCGTGGCTTCTCTTTGCTTCCTGGCCACGCTATAAGGCCTGCGCCGTCGCCGTTTTTCGCCGCTCTCTTCCTCTGTTTTCCCGACACCACCGCCGCTGCTCCGTTGAGCCCTCGCTATCGATTTAGCGCATGTGCCGTCGCAGCTAAGCGCTCAATAGTTTCGCCTACTCCTTGCGCACCTAGCCAACCTACTGTGGTCACTTGACTCCGCCGAGAACCCGCTGTGCGCGCCTTTCTTCCTCGCGGCCGGCAACCTCACCGTCGCATGCGAGTCACCGTGGACAAAGCTCTTCGGTGCATCTTTGTCCTTGATCAGTGTACCTCCAGCTCCGCCTTGTTCCCGTGATGCTTTGTGCCCGGTTGGTTGACTATTTTGTCCACCGCAGCCACCGGAGCATCGCCGTCGTCAAAGTTTGCTCTGCCGTGATCACTGCCACCGTCGACCCACCTATTCGTTGTTCCTCCGGTTCGTCCATCGCCTTCA